GAATGAATACAAGTATGCGCTGCAGCTTCAAGCGTAATTGCAGACCATATATGTCTGGGTAATTTCTTAATGCTTATCCTCCAGTGTTTAATGTAAGACTTAATTAGAGAATTGATATTGATTCTATATGTAAAACCTATTTTATATGTTTACCAATTTTTTTTCCAAATCAACCCTATTAATATTCTCCAACAATAATCAAATAAGAGAGAGGGGGGAGAGAATTAAGGGAAAATGCTTAAATTATTTTTTAAAAAAATGATATGTTGACTAATTCAATTAACATTTTTAATCTGCTCAAATTAATTAATTAAGTCTTATATTAAATATCGGAAGAGTATAATTTTTTATTTTTTTTCCTCCTCCCAATCAAAACACAGAGTACATGATTAAAAAAATACAAAGGTTAAATTGCAACTTTAACAACTAAGTTTACCTTGAAGACCATAAAATTTATCTGGAGAACAACTAAGTTTAACAACTTCCCATTCCTTCCCTTGAACAACCTTCCCTATCATCTGTCTCTCAAACGTTTTTTTCAGTTTCTCTTTGTCACCTTGACCGGCCTTCCTGCCTCCCATCTTCTCTCTCTCTCTCATAGATTCAGGCCAGACCATGAGGAAGAGATCTTTGTAAGGAAGAGGAGAAACAGAAGTTTGGAGAAGTTGCGCTGAGGAGGACGATGCCTGGAGCCTGGCCTCATTGAAATTAATGGCAGTTGAGGAGGTTGGTCGCGTCATTGATGGAGGATGGAGCAACCTTAGGCGCGGAAATATTGTGGAACCCACACAAAATAAATAAACGGACGTTTAACTCAGTCAACCAAGTGAGAAAATTGCTCCCTTCTAACTTCATGCCCTCAAATAAATTTTATGGGGTCCAGTGGTCCTTGAAAAAAATGTAGTGGTTGTTAAGATTGTACCCAAAACACAAATATATAGAAGCGACCGAGGTGGTTATGAAATTACATTAAAGGTCAAGTGTAATTAAGCAATAATTATTGAGTGGTTATGAACGCAGCCCCACATGATGAGACTGGGAAAGAGACGCGGAAACAAAAATAATGGGAAAGCCAAGGGTAGCTACCTTGACGTTAAAAATGACTGAAACACAGAGGTGGCCAAGTGCAAGTAAAATGCCTCCGAGAAGCCACCCATCTTCTAACTTGGAATCTCCACCATTTGCCTCTCCTCTGTACAGTGTCACTATTAATGCTCCTGTAATGGACAACACTGTCCCTGTACACCTTGCATGGCTGCTCACTTTCCCCACCTCCACTTTTTCATATCTGCAAATATGCCTAACATCTGGTTTCACTTTTTCATTATCCCATCTCCAGCACTGCTGGATCAGAATTGTCGGGTCTAATTAGGGGTTTATTTTCCCAAGAACGTTCTTTGCATTCTTACAAACATAAACTAAAGAAGCTGAAGTTCAAAAGATGGTGGGTGACGTACCTTAAAATGATGGCAAGAAGGAAGGTAAAAGCTGGGGAGAGATCAGACATGACTGAAGCGAGAACTGGAGAGCTATATCCAATACCTGTATATAACAATGTCCGCGCTGCACAGCTACCACAAATTCCACCATAAGTCCATCAAATTTCTCCACAATTTCACACACATCATCAGAATTCAGATTGATGATATGCAAATAAGTAATCAAAACAGAGCTTTTTAATTTCTTCATAAAGGATAATATATATACATGAGCAAGCTATGAAGAAATATTCTGCAGAACATTGAGATGGTGATAGAGGGAGAAGGTCGGTCTCTATAATAGAGGAAGGAAAATGGAAGAAGGAGAGAGAAAGCCATGGCGTTTGAGTAGACCATGAAGACATAGTCGCTCATGCCTTTGGCGGTGGCTGCTTTGATCAGAGTGTTCATGCCTACTTCAAGCACCTGAGCTACTAACATTAATATTGTTACTTTCATATCATCTATTGATCTTCTGCTCTGTTTTTTCTTGCTCCTTCCTCTGCTTCGCTCTCCTCTGACTCTTTCTACTTTCAGCTTCGTCTGTTACTTCAGGACAGGGTTCTGCCTCCGCTGCATGTAATATCCTAAATTTTACTTTAAAATTTATATAAATAAATAAAATGATAATATTTTATTTGTTAAAATAAAAAAGAAAATAACTTTCCAAATGGAAAGTGAGGAAGGAATTTATTAGGGGAACTCCCCCTAATAAATGTGTGAGAGCTGCTAAACATACTCCCACAGTCATTTTTCCTTCCTCAAGCGCAAGAGAGAAAGAGGGGGAGAGGGCGAGAGAGAAGCAGATCGGCTGTCATTGTGAAGCAGAGGACAAGCGTTAAAGATAATTTAGGTACATAAAATTACTTCTTTTCATTAAAATTTCTTCATAAATATTTTTTATATATTTTAAGCTTTTTAATAACAGTATTACTATATTGATTAGAGAAAATTTTAAGACTTATATATGGTATAAATATTGAGTTTTGATAACCATAAGAGTTTAGAAGTAAATGAGTAGTTAATTTTAATCAGTTTAGATTTATCTATTTGTTGGTTTTTAATATCTAAATTAACTTGTTTAGTTGAAAAATCTGTTATATATAGTATATATCCTATTTTTACCAATCAAAATCAAGTTAAATAATTTATTTGGATTGTTTGACATATTATTGAGATTTTAATTAGTTTAATTTTATTTATTGGGTGACTGGAAGTTTTAAAATAATTACTTTAGCTAAAAAGTTTATTATTTGTGGGGGAAAATTGATAGTTATACCATTAAAATTTTGATTATATTATTATTTATAAATATTTGAGGTACTATTAAATTTTTGGTGGTTTGGTTTTAAGATTTAACTTGGGATTTTAAAATTTATAACCTAATAATTTCATATTTGCAAATTTTGGAGGATTCTTTTATTAAAGTAAATAATTTGGAGGATGTTAATAAATAATTTGACTTGTTAGAAAATTATAAACTAGTTATAAAATACTTAATTTTGAGTTATGAGAGTTGTGAAAATTTAGGATAAAATTAGAAATTTAAATAACATATATAAGCTTAATTAATTAGTTGATATTAATTTGTGATTATATTAATTGTGTAAATTAATTATTAGATTATTTGTTTGAACACGGGGTTGACATTATAATAATCCTTTTTATAACTTTGGTTAAAAGCAATCACTTTCCACTTGTTATATGTGCTAATATATTGTTTGTGAGTATTTTGCTATTCCGGAATAATGATGTGCTATTTGGAACTCGATTTGTTATATCTTATGAGCTATGAAAATTGTCTTGTGGGATTTTTAGAATTGTGACTAAGCCATTTGAAAATATATATATGATTTATATTTTATAGATTATATTGAAAAAATATTAAAATATTTCTCGTTATATTGTGAATGATTGATTGTTATTTGAATTTTAAATTGAGTCCTGTTTTATCACATGGTAAGACTGCCATTAATGCACATTGGTTGGCTTCCTTCGTCCCCCATAGTAAGGGCTATGCCTTTGTGGCATTTTATTCGCCCCCCATTATGAGAGATAGGCCTACATGTCTAATTGATCCCCTATAGTGAGAGATAGACTTAGGTGATTTCTTATTCATCTCATATAATGAAGGATAAACTTATATGTCTGATTGATCCCCATAGTTAGGGATAGACTTATGTGGCTTGTGTTTTAACCCCCATAATAAGGGTTTGGATAATTAAGATTATCTTGATATACGTGTTTTATATTTCTACTGATATATCTATAATTCTTGAAATTAATAATTGTCCCACTTAATACTCTACGAGCACATGTTAATATGTATGATGAGTTAGAAAGCTAGCTATTGAGGTTTTTGTCTCACTCGTGGTTTAACAGTTTTAATTAACAGTTCAGGTGGTAGTCCATTAGGAAAAGGAGTCAGAGGTTTAGGTATCAAGTTTACCTTGTATAGCTTGTTTTTTGTCATGTGATAAGTATTTGTATACTGTCATATATAGCTGTTTTTGCATACTTTGATTTATCTAAGACTAATTGTCTTAGTTACATTTGTTGATAGATTGCATTCTGATAGAAGACCAGAGGTTTGCTTGTATCTGTGAGTTGTGGATCCACAATGACTTTCAAAAATAGTTGATTACTGTTGGTTTGAAAAAAATTTACTTAGGAAATATTATGTTATAGGCTTAGAGTTAAATGTAACGTCCTGAACTTTGTAAAGCCCAAGACCCAATTATTACGAAATATTATTAATTATAGTTTTTATACAATTTGTTTAGTAAAGCTCTTATAATCATGATAGACATTTTGAATTATTAATTCAAGTCTTTTCTATCATGATTAATATTTCTGGCAAAATCAATTTTTTAGATGATACCGGTCCATGAGTAGGGCACATATAGAATTAGCATTTGCGATCTATCAAATGCTTTTCACTGTAAAATTAAAGTACGTACGTAAATGCATCATGCATGCTGCCATTTAGAGGACGTCACTCATTTAGATATATTAATTTTCGTTATTAACTGTAAATTAAAAACGTGTATATAATTATTATTTGAGGATATTTGATTTGATTAATCAAACATATATACTATCTCTGTAAAAATCTTAACTATCAGTGTTAGTTTTTCAACAGTTAGGGCTAACATTACTATGATTTTAAATTTGCAGGGAGATATGGAACCCAAAAGAAAAATTTTCCAAGTACCTAACGTTCCTGAATAAAAACTTTCTATATAAATTTGTACTTTAATCCTTGTTATAATGAACTAATTTATATCTAACTCTTTTAATATATTCAAATTAATTAAGTAGTTTTTATGGTAATATAAAGTAATAAACAATCACATCGGATTTTACAAGTCTATCTCTAGACTCTAAAAAAATATGTATGTGGGTGTTTGGTTGTGGCATGCTTACAGAGTATAATATAGCAGCCAACTCCATATCAGGGCGAAGAGTCCGTGCTTGAGCATTGTTACTCTCAGCAAAAAGAGAAACCATGGCGGATAACACCGCCACGAAGCCGCATGATATGGTTGCTATCATCATAACCTCAGGGTACTCCTTCATTATCCATGTCTGCATATGTATATGTATCAAGCTAAGTGCGTTCTAATTTTCAATCAAATCAGAGTTTGATGAAAGGCCCAAATTTTTTCGTAGTGGTGGATGCACCTAGCAAAGCAGCCCCACATGATGAGATTGGGATAGAGAATTGCAGCCAGCGAACTAAGACCTTTTTGTTTTAAAAAAAAAAAATGCACATGAAGAACCAAAGGCTTAAGTCTGCCTTGACGTTAAAAACGACTGAAAGACAGAAGCTGCCGAGTGCAAGGAGAACGCCTCCTAGAAGCCACTCATCCTGTGACAAGACGATTGCCTTATCGTCTTCCAACTTGGAATCTCCACTATTTGCCTCTCCTCTGTGCAGGGTCACCATTAACGCTCCAGTAATGGACAACACTGTCCCTGTACACTTCGCAAGGCTGCTCACTCGCCTCACTTCCACTTTTTCATATCTGCAAAAACACAATCTACCAAACATCTCAATCCAGCTTTTACCCCATTCACTGGACAATAATAAAATTATCTGGTATATATCCAGAAGTTTAGGGTTGGAACCAAGTTTCTTTGCTTTCATACAAACATAAACTTAAGAACTTGCAGTATATGCAAGTTGTGAGTGTCAACATATAAGAGTAACAAATTACCCCAGTGAAAGTGGCAGGAGTGTAAAACCATATATCATAACTGATTAACGTAAGAGAATCATTTATCCTATGAGAAAAATATAGAAAATGATGCTGTATTATTTAGATGATAAACCAGTGGACAATAGTGAATTGGCATGCCTTGATCAAAAGACAACCACAACCATTTTAGAAATCATCAAAATCCATATCTTGCTATTTTCAACCGCCATGACCTTGCTAGTTCACCAGCACAACAAAAGATCACAGTGAATTTAAAAATCCCCCATATGATGCATATGGTCCTATTTTCTCATGTCTCGGGTTGTGGCAGTATGTCTCAGTTGGGAATAACAATAAAAAAAAAAACAGCATAAAAAATATAAAAACAGAATTTTCACAAGCATGAAGGAGAAGACTAACCGAAAAGCAACAGCAAGAATGAAGGTAAATCCACGGACAAGGTTGAGCAAAGCCGAGCTGAGTGTAGCAGAGCTGTAGTAAATCCCAGCATACCCAAATACCTATGCCAAATAGCTGGGGCCAAAAAGAAATACTGGTTTCAGAACCCACAAAATGACATGCCTCGGAAATTAGAAACCAAAATTGCGACCAAAATTTACCACATTTGAAGTTCGATATTCCTATGGAACAAAGCTGAAATCAAATTACCCGAGCAACCCAAGTGAGAAAAAACCACAGAGAGTAGAAATTGTGATTGGGGGACTCTCAGATCTGCTGAAAATAAGAATCCAAAGAAGGAAGTCTTGAAATAGTGAGGTTTAATTCTGCAATATCCAATATAACAAACATGATGGGTGTGAGAAGAAAGAAAAGGTACCTGTGGAGGAGCAAGGAAGAAGGAAGCAGAAGGAGGGCAGCGAGGGAGTTGGAGAAGAAGACGAAAACAAGGCTGCTCATACCGTGAGACATGACTATTTTGCTGACAATGATTAAGCCAACCTGCGCACACTCCGCCATCACCATTCCCAGAAATGGCAGAACGACCATCCCCATTCTCGTTAACTCCGAGTCGAAATGGAACCAAAACTCAATTCCGCGATGTGGTTCATTCCAAAGGCTTGTGAAACTTGCAAGTCAACTTCCTATCCATCATCCCTATCTCCTTGCCTACCCTTATCGTCCAGATTCAGACGCCGACCGCTGCGCTCTATAACGGTCGTGTTCGTATTGCAGTTTGATTACCCCTCACGTGAACTTAAATAAATAGATATACATATATATACAAGATCTATTTGATTAGTTTGATTAGATTAGAAAAGTTAGATAAGTTAGTTAATTGTAAGAAATGTGACATGTTTTTCTTAAAACACTATAATCATCTTTCTTAATACCCCATCTTCCTCTTCTACTTGATTATGGTTGAGGAAATATCTATAAGGATAATTTAGAAAAAATTGATAAATATGATAAATAAGTCTTATATTTATGACTAAAACCAACTCAATAATTAGATCCTATGTGAAGAACCGGAAGAGTATTACATTAACATTAATATTCAAGAATTAGGTGTGATCATGTGAGGATGAGAATCTCTGGATAACTGGATCCTTTGAATTTGAAATATCTTCATTTTATTTAATTCTAATTAAATAGAGAGAGAGAGAGAGAGTAAATTATAAATTCTTTAAAATATTATGAAGAGATCGTGAGTGTTTCTTTGAGTTATTTAATTGCATAAGAAAAAACGTGAGAAGGAGGTTTTCCTACCGTGTTGGCATGTTTTCTAACAAAATTTGTCTGGCAGAAAACTGTGATATTTTAATCATTATGTTTTTCTTACGCATATAAAGTCAGCAAGTAGGATGCATTTTTTAATATTAAAACTTGTTAAATCATTGAATTGGTAATTTTGAATAAAACTTAGAAAATTAAATTAATTGCCAATGATCTTAATCTTATAGCCTAATCACATGAGAATTCTTTGTAAAAGAGATGTCACAGACAAAAGACTAATTATAACTTGAGCTGTACACAAAAAAAAAAAAAAGAACTGTACTTCCATTAATGATGAAAAATATAACAACAGATTCCTGGTCGCAAACGGGGGCACAAGGCGCGTTCTCCTACCGGGTCATGGGCTCGATTCCTGGCGAGGCACCCTGGGATTAGTCTGGCCGATACGCTGGGATACCCTAAGTTAGCGATAACATCCTACTCAAAAAAAAATATAACAACAGATCATATTGATGTTTCACTTTCAACACGCACTGGTTCTGTAGAAGAGGCACTGCATTAGAAGAAGAAGAAGACACAGAGCTACAGATTACTGTTGTCTGGAAAGCCATCTTTTCCTGTTGAGCCTGACCCCATAAAACGCCATAAAACCCAATAGTTATCACTCCACCCCCTATCACGCTGCGTCATCAACAGGAAATTAAATGCAAAAATAGATCAGTTATTCATCATCATTTTATAATTACACTGTAAATCATGAAAAATTATCCGCTGGTGAAATAATGCTTGTTGTTATTATTCGCAGCACTAACAGGTCTTAAAAAAATTCAACTTTTTTACCAATTTGATTTGTCAATGCAATTCGATTCGTAAATATATTCAAGTTTGGCTAATGAACATAAATCGTTCAATTTCACTTTTGAATGACGCAATTCAATTTATAAACATAATTTTTTTAAAGCATGTGCGCGCGTGCACACACATATATAATTATATAATTTTCATACCTAAAACTCTTCACACGTACCTGCCAAGAGAGAAAGATTCGCCGAGAAATACAAGTCCCATGGCAAGTGCGATGACCATTCCTAAAGGAGTAAACATGGCCACGTACACAGGTCCCTTCTTTCCGCACGCCCATATAATTGTTAAGCTTCTCATTGATACCATGATAATCCCCTATATATGTACACATATATTTCATATCACTAATTGATCAGTAATATATGCGATACTCCTTCATCACATCAAAAACATATGCTAATTGGGATTTTGATAGAAGAGTTTGAGAGTTAGATTTTATCCCAACTATAAAATTTCAATTCACTTAGTCTCTTATATTTGTTATTTTTTTAACCTGATTTACCAAACCTATAAATCGATATATAATCTAATAATGTTACACAAAAGTATTTTAGAGACACCATGTCATTACTACATTCGTTTTAACATAAGAGCTAATTAACTAATTTCAGTAGATTAAGAAAATTGGTTAAATTAAACTATACTCAATACAGGAGTTTTGAAGGGGAGGGGAGGGAAGTTGCTTCCCACCTTTCGTTTGGCTGGTACATTTTTTAAGGAAGGAAGGGCAGTTACTTCCCTCCCCTTATTTTATTGGGATATTTTTTAAAGCCTCCCCTCTAAAGTAAGACTTTTTTGAGGGGAGGTGAGAAATAAAATTTAAAGTTTCAAAATTAACCTAATTAAAATACTTTAATTTCTCATATACTTTTTCAATTTGTTAATCCTTAATCAGTCATAAGCATTTTCTATGCAAAAGAGTTTCCCTAAATATCTACCAAGAAGCCCTCGAGATAGCTGTCTTCAAAGTTGGTGAATGTTATTGGACCTTTTCTTCTAATTTTATTCTTTTATGCCATATTTTCTTTTACTTTCAATACCTCTGCTCTAATTGAAACCTATCACTCGCAGCTTTTTATCTTGATATTCTATATATATGTGAATTACATTATATATATATCTTAATAAAATAAAAAGTGAGAAAATTTATTTAAATTTTATAGACTTCGTTATTTTAGAAGGTTTAGCCAATTCCCATTGGAAACCATAAAACAACTAACACCCTATCTTCTACTCCATACTATGAGATTGAGGCAATAAAATTGTAATTGTAACGCACCATTCGGTCCTGCCCCAATCTCCTTTCATCTTTGAAGGTGCCTTCTTCATTGGTTAAAAGTCAATTTCTTATTAGAACAAAATAAGGTATCATCAAAATTCTTCTCCTTCCCTCTTTTCCAATCAATCCAAACAAGAGATCTTTAAAATCCCTTCCCTCTCTTCCCTTTCTCTACCCTCCTCTTTATAGCTACCCTCCTCTTTTCTCCCTTCTCCTTTCCTTCATTAAAATATCTCCCATTCCCTCTTTTTTATCGAGCCAAACATAGTGTTAGTAATTTGTAACAAATAAATGTTATCTTTTTTAAAATATCTTTACTGATCAAGTGTATTGACTAAAACTATCATTATTACAAGAACAGTCTTGGAAAAAAAAATATAAGAGACAAAATAAATTAGGATATTATATTTAAAATTAAAATAAAAATCAAATAATTTATTATATTAAGAATAACAAGTAGTATATATTGTAAGGATTAAGCTGCAAATTGCCTCAGAAATTTTTGCTCTGGAGCAGTGTTGTCTAGGAAGTTGTTTTTGGGTTAAAGGTTTTCCCCAAATATTATATTGGAAAAATGTTATCTCTTACTGTTAAATTTTAACTATCAATGTTAGTTTTTTAACAGTCGGAAGTAATATTACTACGAATTTAAACTTTTAAAGTGACACCAAACTAAAAAGAAAAATTTTTCAAGTACCTTGTGCTCATGAATGAAGTTAAAACTTCCCATACAAATTTAAACTTAATCCTTGTTATAATTAGTTAATTTATATCTAATTCCTTTAATATATTCAAATTAATTAATTAAGTAGCTTTTATGGTAATAGAAAGTAATAAACAATCACATCAGATTTTACAAGTTTACGTCAAGACTCTGAAAAAAATGTGTATGTAGTGCTCGGTTGTGGCATGCTTACAGAGTATAATATGGCAGCCAACTCCATATCAGGTCGAAGAGTCCATGCCTGAGCATTCTTTCTCTCAGCAATAAGAGAAACCATGGCGGATAACATCGCCACGAAGCCGCATATGATATGGTTGCTATCATCATAACCTCAGGGTACTCCTTCATTATCCACGTCTGCATATATATATGTATATGTATATGTATATGTATCAAGCTAAGTGCGTTTTAATTTTCAATCAAATCAGAGTTTGATGAAAGGCACGGATTTTTTTCAAAATGGTAGATGCACCTAGTAAAACGTAATTACTACTTCTTTGGTTCTATTTACAAGACACTTTTAGCATGTTTCACACAGACTAAAAAAAATCTTAAATTTTATTAACTCTCATTTAAAATTTAATGACTTTTCAACTTTATCCTTATTTAATATACATTATACCTCATATAAACAAAGTTAACACAATAATAAATTATGAGTAAAATTGTACATCCATGCAAAAAATTTCTCTCACTGTCTTGTAAATAGGAGTAAAAATCTTATAAATAGGACCAGAAGAGTAATTACAAGTAATAATTATGGAAGGGTAATAATGAAAGCAGCCCCACATGATGAGATTGGGAAAGAAAATTGCAGCTAGCAAACAAAAAATGAAGAACCAAAGACTTGACCCTACCTTGACGTTAAACACGACTGAAAGACAGAAGCTGCCGAGTGTAAGGAGAACGCCTCCAAGAAGCCACTCATCCTGTGACAAGACGATTGCCTAATCGTCTTCCAACTTGGAATCTCCACTATTTGCCTCTCCTCTGTGCAGGGTCACCATTAACGCTCCTGTAATAGACAACACTGTCCCTATACACTTCGCATGGCTGCTCACTTGCCTCACTTCCACTTTTTCATATCTGCAAATAACATAATCTACCAAACATCTCAATCCAGATTTCACGCCATCCACTGCACAATAATAAAAGTATCTGATATGTATCCCCAACTTTTGGATTCTTTGCGTCCATACAAACATAAACTTAAGAACTTATGCTTAAATAATGGTCGTGGCCAGTGAAAGAAACTGCGGCCAAAAGGATGCGGGGTATGATACCTGAAAAGGATGGCAAGAAGGAAGGTAAAAGCTGGGGAGAGATCAGCCATCACTGAAGAAAGAACAGGAGAGCTATATCCAATACCGACATATACCATTGTCTGCGCTGCACAACTACCACAAATTCCACTGTTAATCCATCAAGTTTCTCTACAATAATTTCACACACAGCATCAGAATTAAGATTGATATACAAATAAGTAATCAAAACAGAGCCTTTTTCTTCATAAAGGATAATGTATATACATAAGCCAACTGAGAAGAAATATTCTGCAGATGATTGAGAAGGTGATGGGGGGAGAAGGTCGGTTTCTGTAATAAAAGAAGGAAGATGGAAGAAGAAGAGAGAAAGCCATGGCTTTTGAATAGACAACGAAAACATAGTCGCTCATCCCTTCGGCGGTGGCTGCTTTGATCAGAGTGTTCAGTCCTACGTCAAGCACCTGAACTGCCACCATTAATATTGTTACTTTCAGATCCTCCATTGATCCTCTCCTCTGTTTTTCTCGCTCCCTTCCTCTGCTTCGCTTTCCTATGTATTGTGCTCTTTCTTTCTACTTTCACACTGTCCTCTTTGTTGTTTCCGTACTACTCCATCCATCCACTTTGGCCGTTTTCAACGATGCAGTCATTTATTCGATATACTCTTTAAGAGTTAAGGTACGACTAGTACCGTGAACTATTTATCCAGGTGTGTCCAGTGACTTAAAGTAATTTTGGGTACATCTAATGTCCTAGACTAATTAAAATGGTGCGTTTATATCCTAGACTAACAGAAATGTTATGTTTAACTGTTACTTTTCTAACTCAACTTAAAATTGACCCCAGATATTCTACATGGTAGACACATAGGCACCTAATGTGTATTACTCTTACTCAAAAGTCAATTTATTTAGAAGAAGAGGAAGGAAATAAATTCAATTTTGAGTAAGAATAATACATATCAAATGTCCATATGTCTACCATTTAGAATATATGGGGTCAACTTTAAGTTAAGTCAGAAAAGTAACAGTTAAACATAACATTTCTGTTAGCCTGAAATATGAACGCACCTTTTAATTAGTTTAGGATACTGGATGCACTCAAAATTACTTTAGGCCACTAAACATACCTGGATAAATAGTTCAGGGTGCTGTGGCGAATGTAGCCCTACTTTTTAATGCTCTGACATCGTCTTGCCTTTTCTTTCAGGTACGCTTCGTCACGATTCTCTCAGCAACAAATAAATGAATAAAGCAAGGGAATCAGATAGGCTTTTTTATTGGGAAAAATGATAATAAAATCCTTTCTAAATTTTAAAATGACAAATAAGACATCTAAATAAATAAAATCATAAATAAGGTATCAAGTACTAATTTAAAATTTTGATTTTTAATCTCAAAATATGTTACAAAATCCATTAATAAAGTAGTGACTCTGGCTATAAAAATTGTAAATCCCACTATGTATTTTGTAAAATTCAGCGTGAAATTATATTGTTTTTAACATAAAAGTTACCCAATCTCCCAAAACAGGGTGCAAAATCCATTGACCAAATAATAAATCTCATTATAAAAGTTGTAAATCTTACTATGTGTTTGTAAAATTCGGCGTGGAATTATATTTTTTTACAAAAAACTTGCCAAACCCTTCAAAACAAGTTGCAAAACCCATTGACGAAGTAGTAACTCTCACTATAAAAGCTGTAAATCCCACTGTTTGTTTTGTAAAATTCAAAATCAAAATTCCATATTAGTACTTGGTGCCTTCTTTATTATTTTATTTATTTGGATGCCCTTATTAGTATTTGATTGTCATTTTCTCTTTTTATTGAGCGCGGTGAAAGTGACTTTTATGGCAATTGATTTTTGTAAATTTGAGAATACAACATGTTTGGCAAAAAAATAAAATAAAAGAGAATACAACATGATTTATGTTTGTGAATAACCAATTTTATCCGCACTCACAATAAATATTAAATTAAATTAAATAAACAAAAATAAAATAAAAGAATAATAAAATATTAATATCTTCTTTATTTTTGTTTGGAAGCTAAGTGTGAAAAATTCACTATATGTCAAATTAAAAAAATTAGATAAGAATATCCCTCTTATAATAAATAACAATAAAATAAAAGATAAGAATTAAAACCAATTAACCTCAAAATTAGGAAATAAAGGCTGGAGTCTTTAAAAAGAAGAAAATAAAAAAATTCAAAAGTCAAAATCAAAATTTTTTTAGAAACATCTTTTGGGGTCATAATTATAAAAAATTCAAAAAGAAATATTCATAATTTGATAATAATTTGATGTTTAAATATAAAGCTATATTATGAGTTATAATGGAGAGAAATTTTAAAAAAATTAAAAAAAATTTACAAAACCTTAGTTGGAGTCTATAAATAAGAGAGTAAATGTTGGAAAAAAAACACTCAGAATTTTTCGATAAAAAAGGAAGCAAGTTAATTGATAAGGGGAACATCAAGTATAGACTTCAATTCTTATCTACGATGTTTAACTTGAATTTTAATAAAATATTTTTGGGTATTTTTTTCTCTATTTTCAAAAGTGCTTCTTCTTTATATCTGTACTGTCTGAGGTTTTTAGAATCTCCGCTGCTATCTAAATTCATTAGTAAACCATATTTATAAATAAATAATAAAATAATGTGATTTTACAAATTTTCTATTTGAAATAAAAGAAAAATAATAATTTTGGGCTCATGTTTATAAATAAATAATAAAATAAAAGTCTTTTTTAAGTATGTATATATATAATCTTAAAATGTTTTTCAAAGCCGTGTAAAGCTTTTAGAACCCTATAAACTTGAATGATTATTCTCTAGTGTGAAGTTATCAGAACTTCCGTTGAAAGAATTATCCAAAATTTCTTTCAAAAAATATTTTCTAAATAAAAATACAAAATTTGCTTTTATATATTAAAAAATACCAACCCATCAAAAAACACTTTTTTAAACTGAATAGATTTTTTTTAAAAAACACCAACCAAGTAACATGTATTTTTACCCGCGAATTACATGAGTTTTGATTCCTCTAAAGGATACGTAAGCCTTAGGTTTTTATCCTAAATTAAGTCCGGTTTTATAAATAATTTATTTTTTTGTAAATAAAAACTTGTTTTTGTTTTTATCTTTATTTTTTTAGGGTAATTAAAACATAATAAAAATGTCATATTAATTTTGAGTAGTTAATTTAGAGTAACCGTTCTCTTAAATCGGTGTTGTGAGATGCCTAACACCTTTCCCACACATAATTGACTCCGGAACTCTATCTCATTTTTGTAGACCACTTTTTTTTTTAGATTTTTAAAATTAACCTTTTAAAATTTTGATTGCAGCTTCTCTTTTTTTCCTTTTTACGTGATGACAAGGATTCGAGCACGATATTATTTAAATAAACTATGTAAAAATATGAGTTTGACCTATTAAAACTTGTTTAAATGATATATTGAAAAGTAGATTTATACGTAAAATGATTAAAAAATAGTTATTATAAAAACAAAAAGAATTAACGTATTATTAAAAAAATTATAAACACTAAAAAAGGTATATTTAATCAAATACAAATATAACTGTATGTAAATATAAGATCCATAAAAAAAATAATATTAAAAATGAAAAATATCATAAAAACACATTAAAAAGTTACTGTACCTTTTTTAATGACTATAATATAAACTATAGGTAATTATAATTTATAAAACAGCATTAAAATTTAAAAATATTATAGAATACATACTACTTCCAGTCCTTAATATAAAATCTTATTTGATTTTTATTTTGGTTCTGAATATAAAACTTCAATCCACTTTGTTTTTTATATTTATGTATTTTTTTCAAGGTATTTTTTCTAATAATCGTAATCCTAGCCAATAGAGTTTATTAGTAAGGATATTTTAGGAAAGACAATACCTATTTATTACAAATAATTAATTTAATTTTTTTAATCTTTTTAAATTAATTAACTAGATCTTATAATTAAGATCTCAGGTACTATTAAAAAGTTATTCTACCGTTTTTTTTTTTTCCGGGTAGTGAGGCGACGATCCTAACAGTGACTAACCATGCGAAGCGAGGGATAAAACGCAGAGGTTGGCATTAAAAAAAAAAAAAAAAAAGAAGGATAAAGGGTAGAGGAGTAAAATCATCGCCGCAACGCAGCACCACGAGGTATCAAATCAAAGTCAAGAAAAATTGCTTCGGCTGATCAACGTGGCGTTTGAGACAGAGTGACTTTAAACTGAGGAAGGCGGCTAACCCAAACAATAAATTTTTGGAGAATGGAGTGTCAAAAAAGAGGGTTTCAATTAAAAAATTTATTAAATTATATTATTTTAATTATAATTTGTTCTACTCAAATTTATATTGGGCACATAAAGTGAGCATGTAGGATGCAATTTTTTTAGTATTTTAACTTATTAAATCTATTTAAATTGAATTAAACTGGTAAATTCGAATAAACCATTGAAAATCAACTTAATTACTGATAGTCTTATACTCTGGTGGCATGAGATTGCGAACTCTCTTATAAAAAGGAGGCCACAGGTTCGATCTGCGTATAACCTCATGTTGTTAGTGCCCATTTTTTAAATAAAAAAGACAAAGAAAATGAACTTATAAAAAATTAATTAGTTTGATTTAGCCTCAATAATGAGTTTCGCATATTCCCCTTGAGCCCGTCAGATATTATCGGGGGTATGATGCTGACTATACTTCCATTAATGAAAAATACAATAACTGATCATATTAATATTTTTTCACTTTCACACGCTCTGGTTCTGCAGAAGAGGCGACTCTGCATTATTGCAAGAAGATTAGGGGTGGAAACAGGCCAGACGGCCTGTCAGGGGCCTACAGCCTGGCTTGTATTTGGCCTGGCCTGGCCTGGCCTATTTTCCAAAAGAGACAGGCTCAGGCCTGTTTGAAGGCCTGTTAAAGTTAATAGGCCAGGCTTAGGCTCTCTAAAAGGCCTGTTAAGCCTGTTAGGCCGGCCTGAGCCTGTTAAAAATTTATAATTATAATATATAAAAAAATTAGTTAATGGTATTGTTAATGTGTACTTTTAATTTATTTTTTAATTTTAATATATAGTTAATAGCTTAGTTCTTCTTTAGATTTTGAAATTTAGTTGACAAGTAAAGATAAAAATATAATTTAAAATAAAAATATCAATAAATAATATGATCTTTAAATCTTAAAAATATAAATAAAATAGGAAAGAAAATTTTTGTTCCAAGAATGACAGATTAATTAACTTATGTATTATATTAATTAAATTATGATACTCTCTTTATTCATTGTAAAATTAATAGTTTTTTTATTTATTTGTCTTAATTTTTTTGGTACTTAAACATAGTTTTGTCCCAAATTTTAACATATAATTCGAATTAGTTTTTAATAATATCCTTATAAATTATAATTAAGATTTAAAACAGCACCTATGATACTAAAATTTAAATAAAAGACAAAACTAAAAAAATTAATTATTATGTATACTTTTTTTATTTTAGCTTTTTTCTAAAAAAATATTGTAATTTGAATTTTAAAAAAAAAACAGGCTTTTTAACAGGTTTCAAGCCAGGGCAGGTCTTTATACAGGTCAGGCTCAGGCTGAAAAATAAGCGTGTAACAGGCCACAGGCCAGGCTCA